TACTTCTGAAATGACACATACCTTTATAGAAAATGTAAGGATTATATGATTAGGAGATGTGTACCCATAGAAGAAACCCTTGAAATTATTAAAAAATGTCATGTTTCTAAATTTGGGGGACATTTTGAAGTTGATAGAACTGCTTTTAAATATTACAATATGGATTTTATTGGCCTACATTATTTAGAAAAGTGAATGAATATATTAAAACTTGTGATAGATGTCAAAGAGTAGACAATATTTTTAAGCGTGATAAAATGCCTTTTAATTTTAATTTGGAGATTGAAATTTTTTATGCTTTAGGTTTAGACTTATTGGTATCTTTGTACCTTTGTTAGGGGATTGTTATATTTTGATAGTTGTGGACTATGTCTCAAAAATTTTTAATGTGATGCTCAAAGTGTAACAAAATTTTTAAAAATAATGTCTTTAGTAGATTTGGTACGCTAGAGTAATCATTAAAGATGAGAGAGCCACTTTAGGAATAGAAAAATTGAGACATTAGTTACAAAGTATTGAATTAAATATAGGATCATCATAGTGTATCATCCTCAAACAAGTGATTTAGCAGAAGTATCTAATAGAGAAATCAAAAAAATTTTAGAAATAATTGTCAATCTTAATAGAAAATATTGGTCTTTGAGATTAGATGATGCATTATAGACTTATAAGACTGTTTATAGAACACTTATAGGAATATCTCCATATAGGCTTTTATTTGGCGAAGCTTGTCACTTACCAGTGGAATTAAAACAAAAAACTTATTGGGCTATTAAAGAGTTCAATTACAATATGAAGGAAATTGGAGAGAAAAAATTATTATAGTTAAATGAACTTGATGAAATTAGATAAGAATCTTATGAAAATGCAAGAATTTATAAAGAGAAAATGAAAAAGATGCACGATCAAAAGATTCTTATGAAAGATTTTGAGCCTGGATAGGAGATTTTACTTTATAATACACAATTTAAATTATTTTCTAGAAAACTTAAGTTCAAGTGATCATGACCATATATTGTAGTCAAAGTTTATCCTTTTGGCGCGATTAATATTAAAAATCTTAAGAGTGGTAGGGTATTTAAAGTGAATTGATAGAGACTTAAACCCTAATTAGTAGGAGAGAGACCGATGATAAATGAGATTTTAATGTTGGATCAATCAGAGCAAATATTTGGATTCGTCGGGCTGAGGATTTTAAACTAAATGCTTCTTGGGAGGCAACCCAAGTTAGTATTTGTGTTTGTGATTTTTGTTTGTTATTGTGTGGATTGGTTGTATTTGTGTGTTAATGTTTAGGTTTGTGAGTGCTTTGATTTGATTAGGGTTTTGTGAATTGATGGAAGTGAATCCCTTATCTTCTCGTTGTGACTAGGCTTTGGTATGTCCTTTTGGAGGTAGGATCAACCAAGTTCTTTACACCTTAATTCTCAATCGAACATAAGGATTTACAAGAGAAATGTTGAGTTTAGGCATAGAATAGGTCCATCTCATTTTTTTTTTTACTTTTTATTTCTAACCTTGTTCTTCTATCATGATGGTTTGGTAGACCAACTATCAAAAGGGCATGTGGATGATTTTTTTATTGAACTAATAGAGGTGCATACTTTATTGAACAGTAGAACTTTGAGGCTGACAATACATAAGTCAATAGTAAAGGTGCTATCTGGACCTAAATATCTTTACAAATATGTGTAAAACACCTGACAGACTATAGAAGGAGATTCTGTTAGAGATTTAGAAATAGAGAAGGGAGATGAGTTGAGAAGGGGGATGAGTGGTCCTCATTTGTCTTTAGAATAAGATAGTGTATGTGTGCTTAATTCGTGTGATTAAGGGAGGTATGTATCCTCGAGGGGCAACATGTTTTTCACGTTTAGCATGAAATACATATGGGTAATAACATATGACAAAAGCAAGTCATCTTCCAAAGGTTGGATCACCAGACCCAAAGATAAACATATATAGCGTGAAAGTATGGGTGGCAACCCATACAGAAGGCAATTCATTCTTCTGAAGGAAGGACTTCTAGGACCCAGAGGTCAATGCATTTTGCTTGAATGTGTGGGTAGTAACCCATAAATAAGGTAAGTCATTCTTCCAAAGGAACGACTGTTGGGCCTTGGGGTTAATGCATTTAGCATGAAGGGAATGAGTGGTAACCCATAATAGGGGCAAGACATTCTTCCAAAGAAAGGACCAACTTTATTGTGAAGGGTACGGGTGGTAACTCGCAATGGAGGCAAGTTATTCTTCTATAGGAATGATCGCTTGGACCAGTAGATCGATGCATGGAGCAGAAAAAATATGGGTAGTAACCCATAAGGGAGATTAATCATTCTTCTAAAAGAAGATCCGCCTGGACTCGGAGGTCGGCCCATTTAGCGTAAAAGGTATGGCTAATAACCCATAAGAAAGACGAATCATTTCTCCTAAGGAAGAACCACCCAGACTCAGAGGTCGACACATTTAGTGTAAAAATGTATGGGTAGTAGCCCATAAGAGAGGCAAATCATTCTTCCAAAGGAAGGGCCCCGAGACCCGGATGTGAACGCATTTAGAGTGAAAATAGATTGGTAGTAACCCAAGAAAAAGGCAATTCATCCTTCCAAAAGAAGGACCGCCCAAACTAAGAGGCCAAGTGTGACCGAAAAGAACTTTTGGGAGAAGTGCATGACTTATCTCACGTACGATAAGTATTGATCGACATTGACTTTAGTCAATAGCGATACCAAGAAAGTTAGCTAAGCAGGGTGTGTTAGCCACAAGACATTTAGTCTTAAAGTAAAATTCACATATACCCCTTAAAAGGGTGTTTACTACATCCACTTATGATGAATGGGTCAAGCATGATTCAAACCCGCACAAAGTGTGAGCAAATGACATGTGTTTTAAGAGAGCTCTATAGCCTTTCTCTTCATTAATCATTAGTCATACTAGGTATAGGACACCCAAAAGAATTACGCTTTGCCCGGATAATGACTAAAAATTATATGGAAAGAAAGACATTGCTTCTCTTGCATTTGTTAACCATGATTAAAATAGCCGATTTGAAATGTAAAAAGGTAGTCGGGTTTTGAAGTGTCCCGATGAAACATGGATCAGTAAGATCATTAAGGTGGTTCAACCGATTTTTTTTTTTTTTTGACAAGGTAATGAAAATTGACCGAGTCAATCGAGAAGGTCAGATACTCAAGGTGATCCAGCCATTTATCAAATAGTCATGTCCCAGGTATATATTTTGAATAGTCCAGGAGATGTGTATTTTGTCCATGCATGGATCAGTGAAAAAAGTGCAATGTTTGAGCTCATACGACATATTTTTCAAAGAGGTTGTTCGATCAATTACCTTATCATAGAGTTAGACACACAAAGTAATCCAACAATGAAGATGTTTAGCTTTTAGCTAAATTTGGGTATATCTTTTAGGGATATACAACACATTTGTTTACAGTGAGTAGAAACTGTTGTTTTCGAACACTACATCATGTGCAACTGAAAAGAAAGCTTACTTTTGGAGAAGTATGTGGCTTCTCTTATGTTGAATGTTGGTTGTACCTGGTACATGACACTCGGAGGGAATTCTACCTCGCTCAAATGACAACAAAAACCGTGAAAGAGGTGCAAGAGTTTCCCTCACATATATCAACTATGAACCGAAATTGACATAGTCACCTTGAAGTATTGAAGGGGGTAAGATATCAAGGTATCATGATTCAAACATGGATCGACCAAATGATTTAGTTAGTCTAAACGATATAACATGTTCTTTTTTTTTTTTGGATAAGGCAATATCAATCAATTGATTTAGGATGCTAAAAAGTTAGATAGACAAGATAGTCTAAACCAAGAATTTTTAGTTTTTTAGTTAAACTCAAGCATATCCTTTTAGGATAATAACCACATTCTTTATCATGGATGGGTAGTGTTGTTTTAAATCCTACACAAAAAATGTGGCCAAAAAAAACATGCTAGGAGAAATTCATGGCTTCTCTTATGCTGAGCATGTTAGGCAAAGTAAACTAATCATAGGAAGTTTTAGCTTTTAAGCAAAACTTAAATATAACCCTTAAAAGATATATACAACATTCGTTAGACTTCATCCTCGCAGAAGATGATCAGCTCCAACTCCCGCTAGAAACATTTGAATTTCATGTGGGACAGACCATACCACAGCTACAAAGGGAATCACAGGATCTCACACACGAGACGGTGAAGGTGCATTGGAGATGGCAGTATTGAGAGAATAAATAGTGGATGACATTTTTCAATCTTGAATTGACCTATCTTGTTAATTTAAGAATATTTAATGCTATTGTATCTCAATTGTATCATGGATATTTTTGGATTTGAAACCTTTATGTTATTGTTTTTTATTTATTTTATGTTTTAGTTTTTTATCTTTTTTATGTTTTTTTTTTTGTGGGCTTGTGATTTACATGAAGAGATTTTGGACATTATGTGTTTTTCTGGATGGACTATTGCTCTGTGTTTGTTAGTGTTACATGTGAAATCACAATGAAGGCAACCAAGTAGCTTTCTTCTTCTCGGTGCAACAGTTTATGAGGTTTTCTAGATGGCTTTTTTTTGGTATATGCACAATGAAGGCAACCAAATGCTTATGTTCTTTTCGGAGCAATGGGTTTTTAGGCTACTCTGGATGGCTTTTTTTGGTGATATGCACATGTGACACATGGGAGGCTAGTATGCAGTTTAATGGCAACCAAGAAATCATTTCTTTACAAGGTCGGTTGTCATATTGCAATGACATTTTTTTGCTTTGTGTGGTGAGTTCTCTAAGTATTCACGTTTGTTATTTTTTTTAATCAATTTTTTGTTTCTTTTTCAATAATATTTCTTATTTTCAATTTCCACAATTTTTTTATTTCATCTAATTTTATGACTGATGTGTTCTCTCTTGAACTATTGTAGGAAGATGAGCTCCAGATTTTCGGGGAACTCCGGGCGAGTGATATGCCACTGCAGATTGTCGTCTTTGTTACTCAAGTCACGTCGATCACAAAGCTACGGGCGACAGTTCTATATGTGACTGCAATGAGCACGGTCCAGACAAGTATGTTTTCTTTAGTCGGGCAGACAGTCCAGCTGATTCCGCTACCAATAGTAATCGGGGTTCGATGGTATCCCAACCGAACAACGTTGCTCTGGACATGTTTCTTCTGCATTTTAAAATAAATATTATCATACTTTTAATTATAATTTTAACATTTTTTTCCCTTTTTATTAGGTTTTTTAATACATACTCTTAAGTGAGGTTTATATCATTTTTTGTATTGTTATAAAGTAATTTTTTTTTTGTTCTAAATTATCAAATATATAATCATTGCAGTTCTGTTGCAAACAACACAACTACGTAGTGACAGAATGGTCATTAATCCAGAAACAGTTGTTTTCCAAATGTATAAATCAAACACTTAAACAGCTTATCCACATCAAAGGCAAAATAATCATTTATCCAGAAGCAACTGCAAATCAACTATTTTCCAAACGCATAAACCAAACAGCCAACCAGCTTATCTGGATCAGCTACTGATCAACAACTTATCAGGATAAGCTATTTATCTGGATAAATTGGATAAATTACAAGTGCCCCAATCAGAGCCTTAATTTATAAAGACTAAGGTTCAATGGGATGATTACATAATCAACTTTCATATATTAGTAGCTCTTAGTCAACAGGATTACATAATCGCTAAGTTGTACCAAAACTAAACATAATTGTCTATATTACTTCATTGGCGTAGTTGAGTGACTTAGAACTCATTTTTCACAAGCACATACAAATAAAATTTCTAAGTTACACATTATACATACCAATTGGAAACAAAATGTAAGTTGACCTGTGCTTGACTGAAGTCAAATTGGGTTGAATTTTATAACATTTGGTTCGTCTTGTCGTCAAGATGGCCAGTTCAATTATAAATATGTTGAAATCAAAAACTAAATG